AGCAAAGAAGAGCTTTGCAATCCTATTGTCTTCTTTCGGATCTCAGCCTTGCACATCAGTTGTGAGAAAGGATTTATGACCTCTGCACCTCTGTTCCCTCATCTGCAGAAGACAGCCACATCACAGGGTTCAATCATCAGACATTGACTAAACACCCACCAGCTTGACCACTTACATCCTGGGCCACACTCAGCCCTCTGTAAACCAGGGCACTTAGAGGGTCACCTTGATGGTAGCGTGAAAGCTGTAGATTTGTCACCGAGGGAAGCCTCAGTACCTCTGTCCTAACCGTAAAGGAAGGCCCCCTGAGGGGAGTGCATGAATGACTTCCAAACAGGCATACACTGAGAGTGAGAGTAGACCAAGGCAGGAGTGGGGGAGGTGCTCCCAGAGACCTGGAGGAGGTGAACACAGGAAAGCAAGGGCTGAAGCCTGCAAAGCCTAGCTAGGATGCTAAGAGGGTCGGGAGGCTGAGAGCCAAAATGTCAAGCTGGAATCCTAGCTCATCCCCTGGTGACTGTATCCCTGGAGGCTTTATGGGTGGCCTGATGCTGTCAGAGTTCCTAGGTGCTGAGCAGTGTGCTCCACCCTACAGTGCTGAGATGACTGTGCTGTGACCGAGAGTGCTCCTGTCTCCATAGACAAAGAATCGACGCTGCAAGCTGCTGCCCCTGGTGATGGCTGCCCCCCTGAGCATGGAGCAGGGCACAGTGACTGTGGTGGGCATCCCCCCAGAGACTGACAGCTCAGATAGAAAGAAGTGAGCAGCTTCTACTTTCACTGGGACAGCAAGGCTGAAGGCCCTGGGATGTGTCAGCACATTGGCCCACCAACTCTTCCAGAGCCTGAGTGGCATTTGGCCTTGGGTGTCTATCATGGGCAGGGTTGGGAAGGGTCTGTTGTCTGTGGTCTGACTCCCAACATGTCTGTCCTGTGCCTATAGCTTTTTTGGCAGGGCATTTGAGAAGGCAGCAGAAAGCACCAGCTCTCGGACTCTACACAACCACTTTGACCTTTCAGGTGAGTGTCTGCCCCATGGGCAAACTTCACCCTTCATACCTTCTAGGCCAACATTGGCCCTGTATTGGAGCAAGCTGGTGATGAAGTTACCCATCCAGCATCCCTCTTGTCCTTTCAAAACAGCCCTAGGGAAGATGTTTCAGCATCTGTAGAACTCTTGCCTGGAAGCTACAAGCCTGGATGCAGCTTTACTGCCCTGACCTAAAAACCATCTCCAGCCCTGAAGGGCAGGCTGTGGTGACTCTAGAGGCCAAGATTGGTCAGCCTAATCTCCATCCTATGGCAACCCAAGGCTGGCAATGTTCAGGGCCCGCCCTCCCTGAGGCTTCAGCACTCCACTCTGGGAGCCAGTCTGATGCTCATACACTTACTGTGTTGGGGGAGTCAGAATGGAAAGGCCCAGTCCAATGACTATGTCACCACATAGAGTAGCACAAAACATGGTTTGTGTTTGCCCTCATCAACTTTTTTTTCTGGTTTAGTTGGCTGGTTTTGTTTTCTTGGTTCTTGGGTTTTGGGTTTGTTTGTTTTGTTTTGTTTTGTGAGACAGCTCTGGCTGTCCTGGAACTCACTGTGTAGATCTGCCTAACTTTTTTTTATTTTTGAGATGGGATCTCACTGTGTAGACAAAGCTGTCTAGAACTCACAGAGATCCACCTGCGTCTGTCTGCCAAGTGTTGGGTTACACCACTACACCTGACCTCATCTTGTTGACATTTTTTTTAGTTTTATTTTACTTTAATGTATGTGAATGTTTTGTGTGCATGCATGTGTGTGCATTTAAGATCCCCTAGAACTTGGATTACAGGTGGTTGTGAGCCACCATTTAAGTGCTGGGAATCAAGCTTGAATCCATACAAGAGCAACAAGTGCTTTTAACTGCTGGGCCATCTCTCCAGCACCTTGTTGACACATTTCACAGTGAAACAGACTTGACTTACCAATACCTTCCTGCTACTGGTTCAATAGGCTGCAGAGGACTATAGCCTGGGGGGCTTACACAGGCTAGTTCCTCTCAGTGCCATGCCTGGGAGTCCTTGCAGTCCAAGGCTCAGGCCTCTCCACAGTATAGCCAACAGATTTGCAGCCGGAGTACAGTGGGAAAGAGATGAAATCAAACACTGCAGAATGTTCCAGGCCTGGCAGGCCCCTGTAGTGTGGAATGCAATGGAGAGTTGTCGTCCTGAGGGAGGAGGAGAAAGGAGGAGGGAGAGGTCATGTATGCTGCCTTGTTTCTCACTCCTCCCTGCTCACAAGATGTTTTCCTTTCATTACTTCAGTAATTGAGCTGAAAGCCGAGGACCGGAGCAAGTTCCTGGATGCTCTTGTGTCACTGCTGTCCTGAGTGAGGGTAAGCAAGGGTGGGCTGGGTCCCTGGGCCTGGAGCCCACTCCTGCTTTGTCTCCCTCAACAGAGGCTTTTGCTTGTGTTTCAGATCAGAGCAGGGTCTTGACTTTTCCCAGGAATGCCTGTCCTAAGAATGCCAGCAAGGCCATAAGGAGCACTTTTGAGAAAGCTTAATTTCATTAAGCACCTTTGACCCCTCAGAATGACCTCAAATTTCTCTCTGATGTTTACACCATGGGCTGAGCATCATGTGTGACATGAAGATTATTCAGTGCTAGCCCCAGAGGCTCAGAGAGCCACAAGCCCCAGGCTGGAGCCCATAGAGGTGGCACTCTGGGCTTTCCTGCACTCAGTCTTTATAGTAAGAAAGCAAGCTGTTGGCCACTACACAGTTACAGATCACAAAAGGTTGGCTGTGCGTGGGCTTTCAGAGGTGTGCAGCTATCCTGAGAGGCCTACTGCTTGCCACTGACAGGCCAGTGTGGCCCAGAAAACCTCTCTAAGGATGCCATCACTATTCTCCCAAGGGATCCTTCTTTTTGAGGGGCCACATGGGGAGATGGACGTAGTTTTCTCCTATGCCTGTGTGAGCATCTCAGCCTCTGTTTGGCCAGGCAGCCTTTCCAAGCCTCTGATATGATGGATTCCTCAGGCTGGGGCTGCCCTACCCATTAAGGAAGGTGTCTAGACTGGACCAGAAAATCTTTGGTCAGACTTATAGGTAGTCAGCAGTGGCCTTGGGCCAGTTAAGTAATTGGTCTAACTCCAGAAAGGAGCCAACCTTTCTGAGCCACCCCTTGCCCACAGGTTGCACATGTGCACTTGGCTTGTGGGGAGTAGCACGTGCCAGGGCTGACGAGAGGCAGACCTTTCTCCTGCACTGTCAGTAATGCTGCTGTGTCTGGCCACAGAAGCGGTGTGGAGCTGGGAAGGAAAGGGGAAGGGATCTGCTTCCTCTGCTGCTACATCATGGGGAAACAGAGGAAACAGGCAAGGGAAGGGACTGTTGTACATGTGCCATCAAGTTGCCCTGTCAGGATAAGTGGCCAGGCAAGGTCTACCAGGCGAAAGGGGCCTGGCTGCTTTGATGGGAATAGACATTCAGCCTGTCAGGACTGTAGGAGAACAGTGGATACCTCAGTAGATCTGGGGTGGCTTTCCACTCTGCACTCACCTTACCCTCCTGTTAAAGCTGCTCAGAAGCAGCAGCCCAGTGTACCATGGGGGGGCCTGCTTCAGTCTTTTGATACATTGGCAAGAAAGGATGAATTGTGGGAACCTTTTTTGTTTTCTTTCAGAATTTGATTTCTCCAGAAGTGACCTCCTTTTCCTTATTTATATCACCTGGCTTCTATTCAATTGCAAGATACATTTGGAGTGTGAGACCATGTGGTTTTTAATAAAATAAAATGTTTAAGGTTCCACGCCCTTTGTGCCATGATCTTATGTTGCCACTTGGAAGTATTCTGAGCCTTCTTAGGATCCAGGGAGACCTTGTTCCTGTGTCCTGGCATCCTCCTCGCCAGATGGGAAACACCAAGACCTCTGCTCAACACCTAGGACAGGTCTCCCCACCTCTTCTCCCAGCCTCCTGATGACAGTGGGCAGAGACTGGCCCTCCAGTACGAGTGTCTTCTGTCCCCCATTCCAGAATCTGTCCTGAGTCTCGAAGCTCACATCCTTAGGTTTAACCCTCTTCCTCTTCCCCACCGTGAGGAACCCAGCCAGGCTTGAAAGACTTGGTATTGGATATGGCCCAACCATTTGTGGACAGAGCTCTGGAGGCCAAGATTGCAGGCAGGTGCCAAGCCTTTCTGCTGGCTGGGCCTCATGTGCCTCATTGCAGCCCCATCCCCCACCCACTGCTCATTTCTGTTTCTGGCCTTCCAGCAAAAGGTAAAATTGCCTGAATAGGGAAAAACAAAAACCTCTTTCTGTGGCTATTGGCTTTTACTTGCCTTGTCGTCCTGGAATCTTTTCCCAGGCCCTGGCCCCTCTCTTTCCCCATGATAGTCACACCCAGGATTGTCTGTAGTTGTCAACACGAATGAACAGGGACATTACCAGCAGGGTGGACCCAAACCCTAGACGGTGTAGAGGCACACTACCCAGAAGAGCTAGGACAAAGCTGGGGTCAGGCAGGTGCTCTGGACCAGTGCCTCCCCTCCCATAGCCGCTGCGGACACACTCAGCTTCACTCACCCTGGCTCCCACACATGAGGGCGGTGCCTGCTCTGGCTGTGTACGCTTGTCAGCGGCCACCTGGTGCTGCTTGGAGCTGAGCAAGCACTGGAAGAAAAAGCTTTCGGGATCTTGCTGGGAGAAACCATCAACCTAGCCACCCACCATCAGCACTTCGACACCCGAGTTCCCGTTTGGATGACGGGAGGTTCCAGCTCCATCCTATCCTGGGATCTGCTTCCTCTCCCATATCCCAGCCTGCCTGACTCCAGCACTTGCCCTGTTTGTTTGTTTGTTTGTTTGTCCACGTTCTTGGCTTCTAGCAAGTATAACTGCATCTCCCAGTTGAGGACTGGAGAAGTCCCTATGGGGAGCCTTAGAGGAGGGCTTAGATTGGATGGATGGGGTGCTGGACACGGAATGGCTGGACAGAGAACAAGACACAGTTAAGAGTTTTCAAACCATTTACTAAGCAAATTCTTGCCCACCCCACCCCTCATCCCCAAGCTTCGAGGAGGAGGGCAGCCTCTCTAAGACTCTGGTACCTACAGGGCCCTCTTGGGGGAGTGCTGGAGTGAGACCAGGTCCAGCGTCGGTCGGTTCGGCGGCCTCCTCTCCACTAACAAGGAAAACGCCCTTTATAACGCGCCCCACTAGCAGCCCCAGGCTGCAGGCCCTGGATTTCTCCAGTTCTTTCGGGTCAGCAGGAGCCACTGACATTAGGGCAGCGTTCAATACTCCCCAGGGTCTCAGTAGGAACTGTCAGCTGCAGTTTGGTGCCTACTTCACCGATGAAATCCGAGAGTTCCACCCTTGCCATGGCCAACGGCACATCCTCACAAGTGCCCGTATAGTCTGTTCTGAGCAGGGCCTGGGTGGTGACAGAGGACCCTCTGTGGGCGCGGACAAGCCTGATCCGAACCCAGCCTAACTTGCCTCGGAGTCTGCGCTGCGCAACCTAGCGGTGGTGGTCATCCACCTGCCGCTTCCCGCATCGGTCCTTCCGAACGCGGGCTTGGCTGCGGGAAGGGCCCCGCCGTGCCTCCCGCCCTTAGACGTAGTTCTTCTTGTCGTAGTCGCCGTTGGCCGTGGGCCGCCGCGGCGCCGAGTACTTGACTGGGAAGCTGAACTCCGGGCGGCCGGAGCAGATCCAGGCACCGCAGCACACGAGGCCGCCGCCGCACATGAGCAGGGCCGAGGCGGCCCAGCCGATGTACAGCGCCGCGCCCAGTTCGTACTTCTGAGACACCGGCACCGACGGATCGTAGAACTCGCGGACCACGATGTTGGCGAACCAGCAGAGCGGCACGAGCGCCAGCAGCCCGCACAGCGCGTAAAGCGCTCCGCCCGTGAGTGCCACGCGTGCCTTGACCGGGCCCGGGGCCACGCAGGTGGTGCACTGCGCGCCGGTCAGGGTAACAAAGAGTGCCACCAGCGCCAGCAGAACAGCGCCCACGGTGAGCGCCCGAGCTGCCTGCACCTCGGCGCTCAGCGCCAGCACGGATTCATACACCTTGCACTGCATGTGCCCGGTGCTCTGCACCACGCAAGACATCCACAGCCCCTTCCAAGTCGTCTGAGCCGTCACGATGTTGTGGTCCAGGAAGGCAGTCACCTGCCACATGGGCAGCCCACACGCCAGGATCAAGCCCACCCAGCCTACCAGGCACAGCACCAGACCTAGAATTTCCAACGCTGCGGACCCCATAGCTAAAAGACCAAATGCTCACCCGACGGCCCTTGGGGCCTCCGGGTGCGCTCCGCGCTGCTTGGGTTGTGTGCTTGGAGCTGGTTCTGGTGCCTCTGCTCCCGAGCCTCCTGCCCCTGCCGTGGACCAGAAGAGAGGTTCAGCAACACCAACTGGTTTCTGCGAAGTAGCTTGTAGGGGATGTCTTATTTGAAGTCTCTGAAGTCTCGGGGGCGGACTCTGCCTCCAGGGCACAGTCCCCCCCCTCCCACCCACCCACTGCCTTCCGAGCTAGAGCAGCCAATCCAGAAACAGACCTTCAGCCCACAGCCAATCGCAGACCCCTGACAGCTCCAGTTAGAGAAACCGCAGCTCAGGACTAGCCTCTCACCTCAATGGCTCCCAGCAGGGCAGTCTGAGACCCTACCAGTTTCTGTCCTAGTCCTAGTCCCGGCTGATTTTGGTGGGTTCACAGGCGATGTGTGTGCCCCCCCCCCCCCCCCCGTCTCAACACTTTAGCTGCATAAGCTCCAACCTACCCATGACCAGCTCCGCCAGCTACATCCCGGATCATTCCAGCTCCTCCATGCAGAGGCTTGGCGTGGAGGTTCTCAGAGCCCATGTGCCCTGGTGAAACAAACCTCTACATCCCTTGTCCTTTGGCACGCCAACCAGAGATACTAGGCAATCCTCTGTTGGGTATGTCCTTGATTATAACCTCATCCACGACTCTGCCCAACCACAGCCTACAGGTTGCTTTCCTTCCCTGGACCCTCTGACCTGATACAAACGGGGCAGTGCAAGAACCTGTGCTGTCTTCTCTGTGATGCTGCCTGTGCCTATCCTGCGAGGTCTGGGGTGTCCAGCAGCACACTGAGAAAGTCCTCACTCTTGTCCGGCACATGGGCTGTGATTCGGCATGGCATACTGGACTCCTGGGACAGAACAGACACAAAGGGACATAGAGAGGCAGTGCCTTGCCATCCTACAAATAGTTGTGGTGCTTTGCCACCCCAGCCCCCAGGCCACCCTCCGGAAGACAACTTGGAGTTTCCTGACCAGGAGGAAGAGCCCCCATCCTCGCTGGAGGAGGGAGCTGCGGGATTTCCGGGCATTCTTCTGCACAATGGCTCGGCCATTTCTTGAAAAGTCCACTGGGTTAGATGCTCTGGGTCCCAGAGGCTCAGGTGGCGGCACCAGGCCCCACAACCCAACTAGGACACCCGCCTCTTTTCAGCATTCTTCTCCTCGCCATTCTCTTTGTCTCCAGCTAACCCTGGACTCCGGACTCCAGGCAGGCTTTGTTGTTGTTGTGTTTTGAGTTTTGTTTCGTTATTTTTCTCTGCTCACAAGAACTCAGGGCCTCTATATGGAAAGGATGACATTGTTGAGGCCAGCCACAGATGTAGAGATTTTGGTAAATCTCTTTCTTTGTAGGCCTCAGCTTCCTTCCCAAGATGGCTCTGAGTAAGAGGTCAAAGGGGCCAGGCCAGTGCCTGCTTCACTCTACATGGAAAGGTGATTAGGACAAGATGCCAGGCCTTTGGGTAGGGAGTACCTCACACACACGCCTCTCTTTGTCCCCAACCAACTCTCCCGATAGGTAGGATACCTCTTTCCAACCACCATATACTTTGTCTGCTGCCTTCCATGTTCTGGAGACCCCTGCTTTTCTGCAGACCTTTCTCTACTGCCCAGTGGTGTAAACTCCAAGGCTCACCCTTTCAGTCCAGCTCCCCCTGCTCCAGTCCAGGGAAATTTGTTTTACCAGCACCCTCCCTTCATCCTCCATGCTGTCTTCCTGGAGCAGCTACTGAAGCCTCCTCAGCTCACCAAACAAGGCTACTCCTGAAAGCCCTTGCCTATAATCCTCTACGGCTCTCATTGCCCACTGACTAGATCCTGGGAGCAGCCCAGACTTAGGTGGCTGTGAGTGGTTGGGCTGACTATGTGGCCAGGAGCATACACTCCATACTTTGACCAGACCCACCTTCCCCTGGGCCTTGAACTAGCCTTCTGGCTACTGATAGCCTCTCCATCTGTTTTGCTATTCTACAAGGATGCAATGATGGAGATGTCTGAGATACCTCTCTGTTTGCAGGCCCCAGAAAGTCCAAGCCAGGAAAGCTTTTGCCTGCTGGCTTTCCTACCAGTGTCTTGAAAATACAGTGATCATTAACATTCATTTGTCTCAGACCAGAGGCAGCTTGCTGCTTTCAGCTAGTTGGAGCTGCAAACAGCAGAACTTGCTCCCCTTCCTCCTGCCAGCCCTTCTCTTCATGATTTTGGTACTGTCCCCAGCCTGGCACCCTGGGTTGTCCATGCAAGTTCACATACCTTTGGTAACAGCCTCACAGTAACTCTAGGAGTTAGTTAGCAGTGGAACCTCAGACTTCATGTTTCCCAGCATGCAGCAGGACCAGAACCACTCAAGAAAAAGACAGCCAGTGCTTGCATTGCTTCTTCAATCTTCCCGATGCTGAAGGTTGGCCCAAGTGACCCATCCCAGACTCAAGAAAAGTGCTCTCCTTCCTCAGGGGTTTATTGTGCACCTGACACTGTCTCCATCAGAGCACATAGCACAGGATGCCTAACAAGCTACCAATGAGGCACCAGGTAGAAAGGAAGGCAGCAAAGGGCTCTCTGAAGAGGTGACATCAAAGCAGGATTCCAGGAAGAAGTTCCCAGGGAGCAGAAGGAAATCCAGGTACAAGATCCTGGTGCACAGGCGCATTGGGGACTAGGCGGTGTAACTCGGGAGCAGAGCACTCACTTAGCAGGTTCTGTCACCAGCACCACAAACTAAACTAAATAAATCACCCTAAAGGTGGGACAAGGCTCCTGATGGAGCTGACCCTGGAGCAGAAGGAGGTCAGTATGGCCAGAGTGCAGCAGGGGGAGAGGGCCAGGGAATCCGGGACTTTATGGGGGCATGAATCCCAGTCTCTGGTAGGGGTCTTTCCAGGCAGGCCACCTGCTTCTGCATTGCTATTGTTCTTCTTTCCCAGGGGAAGTGGCACAGGATCCCATTAATCTGTGAAAGAAATGCCTGAGTCTGCAGAAAAGCAAAGTTTATCTCTAGCAGCTGCTGGCTGACCCTGCCCCGAGGGGATCCGTTGACCTTCCATGGAGAATCTAAATTTAGGCTCCAGGTTTCTAGGGCTTGGATTTGGGAAGCTCTTTGAAAACAGGCTTTATTTCAAAGGGAGAAAAAAAAAAAAAAAAGCTTTTCTTCTATCTTTCAGCTTCTCATCCAGGATGTTTCCTCCTAGTTCAGCAGATGTTTACAGAACCACAGCGTTCTTCTTGCCCAGAGCCATTTCTTGGTGGAAGCCAAAAGCCCAGGTTCTCACTGGCCTAAGGGCAGCATCTTAAAACCTACCATGTCACTGGCCATTGGGCTGAGGACCCAAGGTGGCCTGTGTAGGTAGGCAAGGGCCCCTGAAGTCTACCTTCAGTTGTTGGCATGGTCCTCTGGGACCCAGAGCAGGTCTGGAGTTAATTTTATTCCTACTTTTTGAACTAATGACTTAGCTTCTCTGTGCTTCATTTTCTCCATTCACAGTGCAGATATACCTCAAGACTGCAACCTTGCAAGAGAGGCTAATTATAATCCAGAGACCTCCTGTGCTATTCCTGGGAGCCTGAAAAGAGCTTGAAGTTACACTGGCTTCGTCGACCTTCACAGATCATTGGACCTCAGGCAGAGGTAGGTGCCAGCTAGCCATCTACATCAAGGTCTCTGTGGTTTTAGCATCTTCAGTGAGAAGGAAGGTTTTGTGAGAGTGGGTACAGATCTCCATATGGCAGAACCCTGGAGTCCTATAGGTCCATCATCCCCTTGAAGGCCTACCCTGGTTGTAGTCTTCATGCAGAGGTCCAGCCTGACCGCTCTGCAAGCCCCAGGGAGATAGCAGTGATCCTCCAGGAGCCATAGGCAACCTCTATTCCCTCCACTCCTTTCACCCACTTCAACTCTCCAGCATGTAGCACCTCCATGACCTCTCTCCTTCGACACACACTCCATCGCACAACCTTATGTTGTTTATTTGAGTTTTGATTGGAAACACTCCCACTTTGTTAAAAACGCCCACATGATTAGGGTTGTTCTCAGTATCCAGTGCGGTGTCTATTCCTGATGCTTGTGTGTGGAGTATGAATGTGACCAGCTGTTCTTTAGCTCTGTGAGTCACCGATGATAATGGCCCTGACCCCAGAGGGTGCCGTAGTAGAGACCTCATCCTGGCTCATAGCTGAACTAATGAACTAACAGAATTGATGTCAGGATGCCATCGCAGGGACTTATTCCCCAAATCCACAGGACTGTGGTGTGATCTCTCAATCTGTGGGCACTCTTCTGCATACTGTAAATCATCTCTAGGTTACTTGCGACATCAAAAACTTTGCAAATGTTGTATGAATAACTGGCACACTACTTTGTTCAGAGAATCATAACTATACATGAGTGTTCAGCACAGGTACAATTTTCTCCATGTAAATATATGATGAAATATATAATATGAATATATCTGTTTCACATGCCAAATTTCAATATTTTTTTTTGTAGAGACAGAGTCTCACTGTGTAGCCCTGGCTGTCCAACAACTTGTTATGTAGACCAGGCTGGCCTTGAGATCCATTTGCCTCTGCCTCCTAAATACTGGAATTAGAGCTATATGCTACCACACCCCGCTTCAAATGCTTTCATTCACAGTTGGTTGATTCTGTGGTTGTAGATCCAGAGGGCTGACTGTATCCAGCCAATCACATAGCCATCCCTCAAGGCATCATTTGATACCTGATTATGTTTTTACCTTTGACAAGTGCTGTACACTGAGCTACATACCCTTTATAAACAGAACTATTATCAGTGTCCTTACTCATGACTCTTGGTGTTTAGGAGGTTATATCATTGACATTGTTATCCATGCTACCTTTTCTCTGCCTCTAATCAGCATTGTGTAACTCCAGTTTCAAACATTTGTCAGTCCACTGAGTGTGATAGTCACACTCAGTGACTATAATCTCAGCACTCCAGGTACTGAGACAGGATAATTGTACATTAGAGGCCAGCCTGGACTACATAGTGAGACCCTGTGAAAAACAAACAAAATCTGGCGCAGTCTGAAAAAGATAGGATAAATGAAGGTACGGACATAAAAATAGAAACTGTCTCAAGTGAAAGTCACATGGT